CTCGTAACACAAATCCCATCGTTTAGAACTCCACACGCGTACTTTCCAAGAGTCTTATGCTCGCTCATGAGTCACTGTGGAGCATTAGAGATAGAATTCGATAGAACGCAACGGAACATGATTTCACGGAATACGTGGGATTAAGATTAGCTCGATTCTTTCACACGTGTGTGCGTCGAAGCCTTGAGGAAAGAGGTGCGAACGGTTCCGACAGTTTACCATCACCATTATCCGGGATTCGATCGACCGCGATCGTCGCGTTGTCCGTGAGAATTCGACCGTTTCCTCCTCATTGCCGACCACTTTTTACTTAGCGCATTGGCGAAAAATGCCTCGAGATCAGGAGGGAACAGAGGAAACGCGGGTGACATAGAATAGTCTGGTAATGTGAAATACCGCGACTTCTGGCTTGTTAATGTCGCAACATAGCGGATCCCGAGTCGAAATATCAATTCTGAATTAAATCTACTCTATCGTTTCAGAATGCCAAAGAAGCGTGTAGGTGAGATCATTAAAAGTAAACGGTGGGAAATTAATGTTATATAAATTTATGTGACATTGTAATATTATTATAACAGAAAGTATTAAAATAGCAGTTAATAATAGATTATAATATAATAAGTGTACAATATAATAATTATTATAGATTATTCGATCACTAATATTCACCGAAACACGAGAAAAATGGCTCTTTTGCAAGATTAATGGGGTATTCCGTTTCACCCGATTCCACATTACCCTTCCAAAATCTACCTTCGAAAAAATCGATATGACATTCAACTTACCGTAGATAAACGAAATCCATTAGAGGAACATTATAAAAAAACATTGGCATTACAACTCGGTGGAAATTAATTTCGACTTATCTCCGAAAAAAAAACCTCAAGGTATTCCATAATGCTCGCGTTTCTTCTACTGATGAAGTCGGTACAAAGATTCCCATTGATTCGTCGATTCCACATTGATTACGCGAATATCATCCTCGTGAAATCATAGACCCCTCAGAGGCAAACTGACTGATCGGACAAGTGAAGATAATTTGGAAAATCGTTTCCCCGATGAAAGAGATACGCGAATTACCGTTGCCGGTGCCGTCGCATCGTGTCGCGCTTAACGTCACGTGGGTCAACGCCGGGTCGCGCCGGAGCTATTATTTACACACGACGTTTAATGAGCGTCGTGCGAGCCGGCGGATTCCTGAAATCCGCGGGGAATCGCTCAACAATCGGCGTAACTTATCGAAGGTTAAAGCTACGGGAACTTTCCGCGCTACACGTTCGGCCGATCCTTCCCGAAGAAACGCCCGACAGCAGGAAGCCGCTCGGCAAACAAGAATGCCGATAACCATTGCGGAAATGAATCGGGTATCTACCGAGTGTATGTCTCGGGGAAACATTTAGATAATCCCATGGGAACATTACGCGACGTCGTCCGCTCCGGAGGATCCGTCGTTCGCTCATTATGCGCGTCGGCCACCAATCGAAGGCGCTCGTCGTCGCGCGGATCTTTCACTCGCCGGCTATAAACGATCCTGTTAGCGGGGCCTATGACGCGCTATCGTCGCGCCACCGAGAAATGTCCTCGAAGAAAATAGAGATTCCGATTCGCAACGTTGTGCAACGCGGGTAGGAAGTGGGCGTTACACTTCGACAGAGGAAAAATGCTAATATACGTATGTTAATACGGGCAATGCAAACAGAAACGAGACGGCCGCCGACGGACACAGAGAAACCTGACTTCCCTCGGCGGAACCCCCGAGGAACACGTGTCGCGTCCGCACAGGTATCTATGCGCATCCAGCGAGAGAGATCTTCTCTCTGCCCGTTATCGCGATTGCATAACTAAACGAGTAGACACACCAAGATTTCCTCAAACTTAATCAATTTTATCACATCCAAACAAATTTCATCATTGACATACGCCGGAGAAACTGACGTTTCGATCAATAAGTACGATTGTTAGACTTTTCGAACATGTATTCTCAACTGAAATAAAAAACTTGTTCGAAACGAAAGATAATTTTCTTATAAAGAAATTATCCATTTCGTTTCACATACTCACGGTAACCAAATCATATCTTATTTGATTAAGAGATTTTATTTCAAATAATAGCGTTTCTTCCGTTAAATAATCGAGTTATTTTCACTCAAACAGATAATATTTCGTGTATGTTGTTTCCACGAAACAAATTTTAGTCAGATAAATAGAAATACCCAAATCTAAGGAAAGCTTTTTCTCCGTGTACTCGTGAAGAAAAGAGAGAGAGAGAGAGAGAGAGAGAGAGAGAAAAATACGAGAAGTACGAAATACGACGACTGAATTAAATATTAAAGAAGCCGATGCAAAAATCGCCGACGACGCTATCTGTCGTGCCGATGTACTTCCTGTTGTACTTGATATCTTTGCAACGGGACGGAGCAAATGGACATTCACGAATGCCGCATCACCGTGCAACGAATCATCGGTTCGTCGAAGGAGAGGTGACGCGTTCATCGTTGACACGCCGAGCGATTAACGATAACCACCAACGATTTCCAGATTGTTGATACGCATTATCGCTTTATTCCCATTCGGACGACAGTGCACCGTACGAATTATGACATGCACTCGCGATGTACTCGCGAGGGTCGCTTTGAAACATCGCGCTGGGACCACTCTCTCTCTCTCGCTCGGCAACGAAACGAATGCAATTTGTAGAGGGGCTCGTCTCCTCGATCACACGTACCGCAGTGAGTCAGTCACACCCGTCGTATATATTTTCTGACCTAGAAAAAGAGCCTTAAGTGCGCGACATAGAACGAGGAGGTGGAGAGGGAGGAAGAGCGAGCGAGCGAAGTTGAGAACTGGAGACGCTCGGTGTAATTATTGCACACGTGGCCATTATGGTAGCCGACCGATTAGAACCGTATTGCACGTCGAACTTCGTCGGTGGTCATTAAGAGAATACTGCAGCTTTACTAACGCCGGCCAGTTTTTTGCTTGAAGGACAACGTGATGCGCGTGAAGCGTCAACACCCGGCGGGCTGCTGTACTTGACTTTATTTTGCAAACAGCGCCTTCGGCTTACAAAGACACGTTTCTTGATTGTAACGTGTATAATTGTCATTGTAATGATTATAGCGGCTGTACACGCAGGATGTCCTAGAATCAACATATGTCCTTAACGTGACGGATCTTTCGGGACATTCCGCCATGTTAAGGACATACGGTTTTGGGATATCTTGTATAAAGCTGAATGCACGTATTTATGTATAAGAAGGACGTTTATCTCGTCAGACGCCGTCTAAACGACATGTCGGCGGCGGTGAAATATTTTTTCTGGAGTAAGTTCGTCAAAATGTTCAGGAGGATTTGAATCACCTGGGCGATATTTATGATCAAGAGACTCAAGACGGTGTAGTGGTGAAAACGTGCGTTCTCGTCGAATCTTGTGGATTTCGGTCGTCGATTTAACTACCGTTGCGCCGCGATCACACAAAAAGCATAATCAATTTGACCTCAGCGCCGCAATCGATGTGATTGACTGCTTAAACATCCTAACTGTCAATCATGCTTCCTTACGTGCCAACGTTGGTCTGATCTCACGAGTGGAAATGCGTCTTTAGGGACGCGTTTACGAGCCGAGACCGGTTATCTCAATGGGCATGTTTAGAGTATCGCTCAATTGTGACCAGCCAGTCGCTTTTTGCGACGGGACATTATGAAATGTCAGTGATTAGGGTCAGATTGCACGTCACACGTCGTTGAACCGTCGGTGCATTACGTCATATGCTACAAATTTCTTCAAACCACGTACGCAGCGTTTTGTCCACGGACTTATGCAAGACCGGCCACATCAGCGACATTCTGTCACGATTATTCGCACCCGAAAACTGCCGAAATTTACGACGATGTGCAGTATCGTCATTTCTCGCCGTGAAATTATATTTGGTTGCCTCAAGTACAGATTGATTAAAAGTATGATTATATATATATAATTTCACCTGTAATTATATATGTGTATGTGAAAAATGTGACTTTGTCGAAATGTTGATTTTAATAGTGAAAATAGAAGAAGAATTTTTCCAATAAATGTCACTATAGCATCAGTAATAATAATCTTACATACACGTTGCTGTTGCTATAAAATATAGATATTGTCAAGAGCAATTATAATTTTCTATCAGTCGAAATCTCGGAAAGTGCAGCTCTTTCGGCAGTTTCAAACGCTGCGTACGATAATCGGACGGTAACCGATCCATTTTCCAATCGGTGGCCCCTTCGAACAACGCAGGGCAAAACACAGAGGATACCTCGGACTCGAGAAATGCAATTATGAGGTAACGCATTGCGACTCAATCTGTCGTTCCTCGGTTACACGGTTCTGCGTAGATGGGATTTGTAATCACAGTATCCTCATTAGTCACGGATCACCGAGGGTTGCCGCTCGCAATCCTTCGTGCTAACAACTTCGCGCGCGCGATAACGAGCTACGCGCAGGTGCGAGAGCGCACGTATTCTTTTCCCTTTTCTCTTTTCGCCTCGCTTTTCTTTGACTTATCATTCAAGATCGTTGCTCAATAGCGGCCCGAGCGGCACGACTAATGATCGACTCGGGCTGGTAAATAGTCGCCGCTACGTCTCGTACCTTACGCGCCGGTTCGACCGGATTCCGCTTTCCAAGCGCAAATCGAGACCCACGAAGGCCGCGATCGGTGTTGCGTACTTCGCACTGACGCCTCCCGAGTACTTTCTCGCTCCTCCTCATCGTCGGCGAACGCGTTTCGGCCCGGCTGAAACCTCGCCCCGGTGTGGAGACACCTTTATCCACTGTCTTAGAGAGGGACAGGAGCCACTTAGAGGTAGAGCCGCAGTAACTCTATAACATAAGCGTGCCAGTTGGTGGCAAATTTGCGGATGCGTGCAATTGGCATTGCCTATGCCGTGCGCGCGCGCGTCCACCTATATATTGGCAGTGGCCGACCGGCGGGCCAATCGGCAGCTATGAAGCAGTTAACTTAATATAGACCGCACTCGGAATGTGTGCCATCGGCGACCTCGAGGCCTTCCCTAGGTCAGTGCTAATTCTCGTGCGCGGGCCCACCTCTTCCAAATTTCCGGTCGGCCTTGAAGGTATCGTCGTCAAGGATGCCGTCGCCGATCCCATCAATTTCGCGCGTCCACTCGAGCGCTCTAATCAGGCAATGAAGGCGCAGCGAGATAACGCTGATACATCGCGAGATACATCGAGGTACGTGCATTGCGTCACCTGCGCGTGCATTCGAACCGAAAACCGTAGCCAAAACCGAAATCTGAACCGTTTTAAATCTTTCCGGCTTACGGTTCTTCTTCAGTGATTTAAATAATATAGTCGTTTGTTGAAAAAACAGCACATTGATTGGTTATCGCGGCAAATAGAAAATAAACTTCAGGCATACGATATTGAGCAGAAGGGGATTGATAGGAGAAGTAATATATTGTAATTTCGGGATGAATAGAGGAAGACGGTCATCCTGAATTGCAGAAATTACCCTAACGGAACGTGTATATTCTCGGAATCTATATAATTTATATGTTCCGTTAGGGAGAGGTTATAAATAATGAGAATAACATCGTATATCCAAAAAGTTAGCAGAAGATGGAAATAGTGAAGAAATGTACATCGAGGAAGTGACATTATTATTTTATAATCTATTATTGTGCACGTTACACACACGCACACGTATATAAAATTTAACTCAATAAAAATTTCAGTAAGGAAACGAGTTTAAAGAACCGGATACGAGAAAACCCGTAATTCAAACGGCACCGGTGCATTAATTGTCCCGAAAACCGGAACCGAAAAACCAGAACCTTTATTAAATATTTTAGTGGACCGGAACCGGAACCGGGCCGGCATTTTCATTCGGTCCGGGTCTTCGATTCGCGCACACGCTTGAGACACACGCTTTCTCAAGGCCTGCCGGACGCGCGGAATTTTTGCCCGCGCACGTTTCACATAAAATGTGGCGGACGTGGCGGTCGCCGGAAATAAACGACATCGTGAATTCGACTCGGGAGAACCGTTAGCTCAAGATTAATCGCCCAGCGTCTCTCCCGAGCTTATTATTGCGAGAACGGTTATACGGATTTACCGTCGGTATCCCGTCGGTAGGTGTCTTCGATAAACACAGACTCGCAACGATCACTTTGCTGCGCTTTCACTGCGTCCGCGCTGCCGTCCAACTTACAATGTGCATACGCGAAGCGCGATAACCGATATCCGCTACAACGTGGCAGCCGCGCGATGTTATCAATGAAGGAAAGAATGCCAATGCTATCGGTAGAAATAATTTCAAGCCGATAAAAGTTGCTGTCTCCGGCAATGCGTGTACTCGCTCATGCGGCACATCATATCAGACAAGCCGGCCTTTGCAAGAAAGATACGCTTTTCTCGCCGGAATGCGAGAACATGGATCATAGACCGTTGCTGGCTGCAAACAAAACGAGAATGTTTGCGCCGGAGGTGTGTCGTGCGGTAAAACCGCGCCATCTTATCGGCAATGTGTAAGTTTGCAGGTGTCCGCATTCCATGCCGAAGGATGACAATGCAAGAAAGCTGTAACGTTGCGCAGCGAACGATGCAGATGAAAAGCGGCAAAGCTGACGCATGGAAAATTGACGTATTCCCTCGGCTATGAAATACCAAATTCTGTCAAACGGTGAACTTCGTCTACTTTGCCCAGCAGCCGGAGCTGAAGCTCGCCGTTTTCTATTTATAAGCGCGTGCGGTTTGCGTTATTAGCGTTACTCGTCGATTTTTCAAAGTCGAAGTTTTTCTCGAGCTACCTCCTCGTGAATTTACGTCGCAAAATCAGCGACGAGTAATTTATCGGGCAATACTATTTTACAGCGTGAGTTCGGAACTTTTCAAATCACTTTGGATCCTGTGCCAATTTTTATCCCCTGTCACTGGAGCACGTGAGAAAGACCAGGGTTAGGTTGTTCTGCAAATCGACGCACCTGAATTTTTACTGATCTTTCAACCGACATACCTGAGCTCTGATGTGAAATATCATCTTACAGAATACAATTTAAACTACCGGTGTTTGATTTTCTCGTTTGTCTGAGATGGTCGGAAGAAGAAGTCAGGGGATCTCTTTTCATGTAATAAGAAATATATAAGATTAAAGATAACACGTGAAGATATATAACAAATGTACAAAATAACGTAATGTCAGTGCTTGTATTACATTTTTGGACAATTTCGGGAAAGTTCATTTCCGTTTTCTTCACTTGAAGACCTCAATGCAGGACGAAAAAATGTCGATTCGAGCATACACATCGTGATTCTGAGTTTTCTACGGGATTTCCAAGAGGGTTTCAATTTTCCAACGGGCTTTCAGAGCCCAAGAAACAAAATGGTACGTCGGTCTTGGTATTTTTCCTCCGCTAACAAACGCTGTCTTGCAAATGCGCCACGGATGAATAAAAGTTTACACCGATCGCTGGGGGAGTGCTCGCAGGATCATCGCGACGCTCGAGATGTCCAACGACAAGCAGACGCGGCGAACGTCGCGTAAAATTTTCGTTAGATTCGCTCTATCGTGCAAACACAAGGTTCTTTATATCGCCGGACTTGAAAACAACGTGGACCGAATTAATCGGCCGCATGGCCCCTCCGGAGCATTCGATACGAAGGCACTCGACTGTGCAAGGTCTTCGAGCATGAGAGCAGAAGCGATAAAAGTTTGATACTCGTTTCTTTTTCCGTCGCCGATTAACGCTATCGTCGTTCCTTGCGTAACGTGTTATTGCAGATTAATGAAAACGTAAACCAACGAAAGAAGTCAGGCCGGACAGAGCGACATTTGGAAGTAATCACGATACGATTGCTCGAGTACTCGAGTACTTTACTTTCCAAATTTCTGCCAAAGACAGAAGGATACCTCATCATTCGTGTCATCACGCTCATATAATTTCGCCAATTACGCCAGATTTCAACTGATTGTGTCATCTCGAGCGATCTGTCGGCGAACACCAGGAGCAATCGATGCCATCTGCTTATAACGACAATAACCTTCGACCGGCTGGTAACTATGTTTACCAACGATTAATTAACGTTAGCGCGTGAAGTTGATGTCCCAATGAACGCCGTGAAAAAAAGACAAACACGGGATAAGGCCGTGCGAATCGGACGAATCCGCGTTCTCGCTTTGAATACGTACAAATAAATCTTCTTACACGCCGACGTGTGAAAGATTAATCGCGCGTCGATAAATGCAACGCGGTCTGACGAGCGCTGACGAGCGATTTCGGCGCGGGCAACCGCGTTAAGCATTAATGATTATCAATGCGCGGTTCGCGCGCGCCGCAGGAGCCGCATTTGCGTCGGTGATATTTGAGCGAAGCAAATGCTCCGATACGAGCGGTATTAGTTCCGTTATCCATCCCAACGTAACGTAATTCGACGGATATTGACACCTATGACGGCCTTTGCGTGCACGCGCGTGCGTGTGTGCGTGTGTCTCCATTATACTCGGTGCCGCTATCGACACGAATCGACGTTTACGTAGCGTGTCTCGTTTCTATCTCGCGAGAATACTCGTCAATTACGGACACGCCTGCCGCCCTTTTGAAAGAGAGAGACTGGGTATATTGCTTTTATACCGAGCACGCGTACGGCGTACTCGCGTTTAACCACATGCAATTACGTGGCAAAAAGACACGACATCAAACGCGGCTTCTCGCGGAGAATTAAGTTCCTCGCGATTAGGCCTTTCTTGCGATGAAGCGAATACAAAGTGTCGGTGTAGCGTACGCTCGGACTTGTCGCTGCTTTGCGATAATTGCGCGAGAAACTGTCTTCTCTCTCTCTCTCTCTCTTTGTTTCACTTTTGAAATTGAGGTGACAAATGTATCGATTGAGATTTAAGTGAATGTTTTGTTAACGATGTTAAATCAAATGAGAGACAGAGCTTCATTATTTGTCGACTGTACTTGTCGAGCAGCTCTAATGACTGTTAATGTCTAAAATTAGACAATTATTCTATTCTCGATTTCGCTTCTAGAATTAACGATGAGAAACACACGACTTCTGAAGGATGTGCACAGTCAGCGCAGGTAATGTCGCAATTCTTAATACCGAGCACTTCGACCTTCGAAACTCAAAGTAGCGGAGCCGTGTTACCAATTACGGGCAGATTTATGCTATCCTTGTTCCAACATGCGACAAAGTGTTCGGAGTTAATAATGACTTCACTCACATCAGGTATATATAGATCAGTCACGATTATTGTATCTACTTTGTATTTTGCATACTGAAAGAAAAAGTACAACGTTCAAGGAAGTATTCGCTAAGGAGTATCGGGGTAATTTTATCTCGATTAAGTAAGTATCACTTGAACGTAGCATTTTTTCTCTCACAAGCGTATCGCGCATTAAATGAATTAGATTATCATTCGTCTTTTTCATACTGGGAAAAAGAAATTGAAATTTTGCAAAGTAAACGTTTCCTGTGATATTTTCTTTCATATTTATTAGTTAGAAAAAAACTTGACTGTGATGACAGAATACATATTTTTGTGAAATATACCTAAGTTTTCTTATTAATTGGTTTATCTGCTAAAAATAAAATTTCATTTCGCCGTATTTAAATAAATATCTATTTCGGTGAGATAATATTCCACAGATAAATGAAGTTTTAATTTCTTCTTTTCTCAGTGCACCATCGGTCTTCGGGTAGAAAGAAAGTTTTCGTGGGAAATTTCATAAGTTCGATCTTATAAAAGATGCGAATTTGCGTAAAAAACCGGCCGGTTGATCTTGTAACTTGATCCTCAATTTACCATCGACAATATATTCTCTTCGAGGTTGAAGAAAATCTCACTCGGCAAATATTTTCAACATTTTCGCATTTATTCAACATGCAACAGTGTCTTGATTTCCATATGGACCTCGTTGATGCGTCACCTGATCAGCATTTCACAAATCATGACACTCACTCTTCGGGGATTTCCGAGTGCCTGCTGGCGTGAAAGTAACGCGTGACGGTCCAAAGTAAATCAGCCTCTCTCGCGATAGTCCAGACGCTGCCGATTTTAATTCGTCCACGGCAGACGCATGTCAAACGTGCACGCAACGGTCCAGTGGCCGAAAGTTCAAGTACATCTCCGACTTTCCGGTAAAACGCTTTCTTCGAACTGTGCCGTTCCCTGAAGATCTCGAGAGCGAGTTCTCTGATTTGCGAACGCGCCTGCGAGGAATTAATGCTACTGCGATTAATCCCGCGTTATGGTTGTCACGCACCGCTCTCGCATGCGTGACGCGACGCGATAATTACGTTTTTTGCGTTGAATTGTTGGACTTGCGTAAAGATATCCATAAAGATGTGGCAACTTTTTGCGGCTGCAGGCTCTTTTACTAACTTGAAATGCGCTTTTCGAGAATCACGCGATTAAATGATACTTTTCATAATTCTTCGATCATTTGATAAGAAAAAATTAATAATCGGAAGGTCTGACGTAGTTACACGATTCAGGATAGACGATAATAAATTCCTTTGCAATTTCGTGTTACTTAGATTTTAATTGTACATAATTGGCCTTTAATTGTGAAAAATTTAATTGCAAACGTCACGACGAACAAAAACTTGCGATAAACTAAGATATGGCCATTAGATGCGCGTTGAAAATTAATTAATTGCAACCTAGGTTCTGTGTAATGTATGGTAAACGAATGCACTGCACGTCACGCGTTAAAACGCAAACAAGACGATTTACATAAGAGAAAAAGTGAAATCGATCGCCTATAGTGGCTGCTGACGTGAACGACGCTTGTCCGTGCGTCTCGTAATGAAATCTGATTGAAATACGTACAATTCGAGTATACCTCGAAAATACCCAGCGCTGATATTACCATACTTTTTTTCAGCGATATGCTACTTCAACATCCTACAATATCTCATAAATTACAACGTCGGTACGGCCTCGTCCACGATATGCAAATCGCCCGGAGTCTTCCAATTACAACGGCCATGTACGCATTTTCTCCGCATTTCAAATTGCAACAAATCATGGGAGCAGTATTGCAAAACTAAGAATTCAACAATTTAACTACGTTAATGATAATAATGCTATATTCGCCATACGTTTATTAATATTAGATGTACAAATTAATTCGGCGCCCTTTTCCATGAAATTCAGAATTATTTGCAAAAATGTGTAAACTGATTTGCAAAAAGTCAAGTACAAGTTTAATGTTCGAAATAATTTCCATTATTTCCTACGACTTTACTCCATCTATCTGACAGCTGATGAATGCGAAGGAGAACTTTTGACTCAATAAAGTCACGAATGCTTTTCTCGGACCTCTTAAAGCTCAAGGCCGGCACTTTCAAATCACCGTAGAACGAGGAAAAAAATTTGAATTTGCACCAGAGTCACGGGATGTTAAATGCAAAGGCATCGAATTAATTTGCACACCGAAATAATATTGAAAAAAGACCGAAAATTATATTTACATGTGTTCATTTTCTACCCTCCCTCGTCACTTCCTTCTTTCCCTTTTTAAATAACGTTAAATCGCGTGAGCCTCCGACGAAATAACGAACAGCAGGGATTCGTGCGATTCGCAAGCCGCACGGTGGAAGAATAAACATAATTCGAGTAATTCAAATAAGTGTGCGGATCTGAGGGGAAACGATAGCTGGCTCCAGCAGGCACGCTATGAGCGGCGATGGGGACAAATCGGCCGGCGAGTTCCCACGGCTTTTCGCGATTCCGCACTCGCGTGCCGATGCGTCCCCCCGCCGAACGAGCCGCCGCAAATGAGCCGATAAAGTGATGGTACCGCGCGAAGGTATTACGGTACGCCCACGTTACGTACGGCGTAACGCACGGGAATGTTATGCGTTAATGGACCAACTTCCCGGACATGACGAGTTTCGACGGCAGCGGCGAATCGCCGGCTGACAATGACATTGCCGTCGCAGACGCCGCGGATTCCTTGCCGTTTCTCTCGCCGCTGCGCCGACGACGCGTAATACGCGAGCGTCGCAGTTGCGAGTCGCGTGTTGCGCGACACATCGCGGCCGGAAGCTTCCATTTCGAAAGCGTTAAGATCATTATTGTTTACTTCGGAGACCTGCGACGCTTCCCTCCTCCGATCTAAGTATCCGATGGTGCTTTTAAAACTTCTTCGCGCGTTTGCGCAACGTGCAATTTGTCGCCCGGGTGTTAACGAATTCTCTTCACGATTAATGAAGTTTATCGGGAACACGCTTAGTCGGGGAGATTATCAAATTAGCGCGACGGTATCTTTAGGTCAACTTTCGCCGAAAAAGCGAAGACGAAGTCGAAGACTGAGCGCGCAATGAGCGAGTACACGGAACGAAGTTAAATCTGAAATCAAGAATGGATATTCTCATATATGTAAGCAAGAATATCATAATCTTCTCAAGAGACTCTTAGTCTTGATTCGAATTGAATTTATATTGGCGCGAGTATCACTTCAATTAAAAGGATTAAAAGTCTCGTAAGAAGATCGTAATATTCTTGCTTATACATGAGCATACCTATTCTTGATTTAAAGACTAGTTTGTTTCTTCCCGCGTATGAAACATTTTTCATATTGAAGGTGAAACGTGGCCACGATGTACCTTGAGTCATCATTAAGCGTTACAAGGCGAGCGTAAACTGCATTCTTCGCGCACGAGAATCACGTCTATCATTTACCCACGCGCCAATCTCCGAAGCTACGCCGGAATGAAAAGGCGGGGGAAGACGGAAAGCGTAGACACGACTTTCGTAATTTTCGCTGACCTGTTTGCTTACACATCCGTATGTACTGTGTTTTACATATTTACCGGAAGAAAGAAATGCTACGTTCAAGTAAATATTTCCCAAGGAGTGTTGGAATAATCGTTCTACTCGGGTCGAATAAATATTATTTCAATGTGTAACACTTTTCTCTTTCAGTATACTACATTCAAGTAATATTTACTTAATCCGAGTAAAATAATCGCTCCAATACTTCTTAGCAAATATTCACTTGAATAATCACTTTTTTCTTTCAGCACGTGGAAAGTTAATTTCGCCGTTTAGCGAAACCATCGTGCCTGCTGCGTGTTTGTTGAAACAGCAATCAAATTTAGGTGACATAATTAAATTAGCGTATTATTCGTAATTAGAGCAGAAACAGTTTTCTTGCAAAGTCAGGAAATATTTTGCCGAATGAATTCGTCCTTAGAACACGTTAATCTGCTGTTAGAACATTATAGTGTTTTCCTATATTTACTATAATTTGGTTTTTATCAAATAATTTGTAAATTCAGCAAAATAATCCAGCGAATGGTAATTAGTACTCTTAACCAATTGTTTTGCAGTTCGCATAGTAACCGACAGATTTTGCTGCGAGCAAATTATTTTTCTCCGTATATTCATACAGGTCTGTTTTTCTCTCGTAATTTACATACAATATGTCTAATCATTATGCAATTGTACGATAAATGAACCGCATATATGCAATATCTTTATCCGAACATTTAATGCGGGGCAAAATCTTAACGAGAACGAAAGAGCAAATCGATGATCGATTTATGATAGTTAGCTCTCAGTAGTCTCTTTTATACCGGAAGATTTTTTGGTTTCAAACCCCGGGATTGCTACTTCAGTCAGTAATCAAGTTAACACACTGTTGCAAAAAACTGCTAAGAATAAAGATGTAATATAAACGCGATATAAACGATATAAAAGATATAAATGCGATTCTAAGAAAACGCTTCTAAGCAAAATTTTACATACTTATAAAGAAACTTGTAAAGAAAATCTTACGTGTGAATTTGCAGCAAGTAACGAAATAATAATAATTACTATTAAATCATAGACTTAAATTGTGAACTTAAGTTATGAGCTTTCGACTTAACTTTCAACCGAGTCCTAGTCTACAATAGGTGCTTTAAGCTCTAAGAAACTGGCCAATCACCATCGAATTATAGAAGAATAAAGAACTGTGCTTGGTCGATTTCTAAAGGCTTGGAGACTTACGTTCTCTTTGTAAACCCCGCTTAACTCATTCATCCCCGTGAAAGTGACGAATGAATCCCACGTGTAGGTGCACCCGTTGAAAGTCGGAAAGAGTTTCGAACGATTCGTCACGTCGGCCCCGATGCTCGAGATCCGACGAGAGAGGAGACATTGTCTCAAGCAGCACGTTTCAATAAACCAACCGAGAGATGATCGCCGTCCCGGGGCCGGTTCGCTCTGACAAATGCTTCCGTGCATGCGCGGTATATCATTATTCCTCGGAGTTTATAAACCGAGACGGTTCCGGTCGGTTCTACCTCGCGCAATCAACGACCTGCACGAGCGTACGCAGCTGAGACGGTGCGCGCGCGTGCGATCGGACTCGCGGTATATCCGCTCTTATCTCTCCGCCGCCACCTATGGTTTTGCAATTTAGGCGTATGCAACATGAAATATCGCGCCGATTTCTACCGCATACGTCGGCTGAAATCCTTATCGCGTCGGTCCGCGGCGATCCGCGCCGCTGGAATCCGCGCTCTGTAATGTGCGCTCCGCAATGCGGGCGGGTGAATTCGAATCGTAAGGAAAAAGCGCGCATAAATTGCGCGCGGTGGCGGCGTTCGGACGCGCTCGCTCCTTCTTTGCGAGCGAGAAAATTTACGATTGGAAACACGCACGGCCGTCGCGAATGGCGGACATGAGGAGGAGAGCAGCACCGTGGATCTTCGTGCAAAATAAGCCGTGCACTTACTTGCACAATTGCGATTGCGCAATCGAGCGGTAGACGCGGTAGACTCGCGCGCGCTTTCGTTATGTACCCGTGTATGTGCGTATGTGTGTGTGTGTAGATTCAAGGAAAGTATATTATCGGCGATCTCTCTTCGCGAGACGATTTCAACTCTCAGCGTGGCGGCAACACGAGAGAATCGTAAAATCGAGATCGAAATGAAAATTCCGACGCCGACGTGGATCTGCTGTTCGCTGTCGAAGGGAAAGCGACGCAATGACAAGTATGGATTAGTTTAGGCGAAGGTAATTAAATTACCATCGCGGGCGGTTTCACTTTCGCTCCATTTCGTTGACAAGTTTCTCCTCGCGTGTTTAGCGACGTGGCGATTTAACCCTCGCGCTTCACGCCTCCCGTCGACTTACGTCGCGTTTTAATCGACCATGCAGAAAGAAATAGTCCGAAATCAAAAATAGATATTCTTATATACAGTGAGAGAAAGATTTCTCCAGATTTAATAAATCTTATCGGATCCAAACAAATTTTATCATTGGCATGCTCCGAAGAAACTAATGTTTCGATTAATAAGTACGATCGTTGGGCTTCTCGACGAATACGTATCTTCATCTCGATTAAAAAATTTGTTTGAAACGAAAAAGAAATTATTCGTTTCATTTTACATATTTATCGCAACCAAATGATATTTTATTTGGTTGAAAGATATTATTTAAAATAACAGCGTTCTTTCTGTCAAATAACAGATAGTTCCCTTGAATGAGACGATAAAATTTTTATTCAAACAAATAATATTTCATGTTGTTTCTGTGAAACAAATTTTAGTGGAATAAATAGAAATGCTAAATCTAAAGAAACCTTTTTCCCTGTGCGATGTTTTCACTTTAGCATTCGATGTTCAATCGTTGCCTCTTCTCTCTTTATTTTGATTCTTACATAATAGAGATCTAATATTATCTCATCGATTATTTCAACGTCGCCATTATCAGTTATCCGCGTCGAGTCGATAAACGAAATTTTCGTTGAAATTTTCACACCGGGAGAATAATAAAAGTGAGACGACGACTGCACGGGCGCGCTGGTAGTGTTTCAACGGAGCGCCGGCGCATCGTAAGCCGTGACTGCGGACGAGACGCGCGCGCGCGCGTATATGTGCGTGTGTGTGGTTCACAATCGTACTACAAATATGCATGTTCCAGTTGCAGGTTGTTTGTACAACTGAAAAACTTTGTACTCATCGAGCACCGCTCTCTTGCGTGCGAGACACGCTCTACGTGCTCGGCCGCGAGTAGTCGTTCGGCGCAACAAAGATAAACCGCCAATAAACCGCCAATAAACGTGAGTCCGCTGATCGTTTCGAAATTTGCATTCACATGAGAAAAACGAAAAAACGGTGCAGCGTGACCCTAAGATAGAGATGATAAAAATATCGTCTAGACGCTCTCGCGTGATGCGAGCGAGTTGCACGATATTGAGCAATACACACTGTACTGTTACTTGTAAATCGTTTTCGTACGCGCGGTGCGATGAAATCGCGTGAGAAAAAGAAAGCAAAACAAACGCGAACGTGATAAAGAGCCGTGCGTGAACAGAGAAAAGATTTCTTCGGATTTAATAACATTTCTTTAATCGAGCGTGTCTTTCGGAATGCAGTAAACAGACGAATTTGACAAAACAGGATTATTTCGTTTCTTGAATAATACATATTTTTAAGTCAAATAACACATTTCATTTGTATTTTTCACCCG